TCACGGCCGATCGGCCGTTGTTTCTGCCGATCGACAAACACCGACAGCGAAATTACACACGCCCAGGAGAACCGATACCGACCTTACTCGACACTCTGTAACCTACGTACTCCCCCCCCCTCTCTCTCTCTCTCTGTCGATAGTGGTCAAGCGATTGTCGGATTTCAGTAATAGAGGAAAACTGATCGTGTCGCGCTGTATGCACGCGGGCAGAATGCGGAACGCGTCAAGGATCGATGGCGGCATAACCTAACGATTTAATTCTATTATGATAGCGTCAAAATTATGAAGAATTTGGAGAGAGGCGCAGTTCGTTGTCAAACTCTCTCCTCTTGACACTTTCGTAATTTTTTTTTTTTCATTTTATATATCTGCTACATGTTTTCATAATTAATATAATGATTTGTCGGCTTCGTGCTTTATCCGACGATTTAATTCACGCTTCTCTGAAAAAGATCGTGATTTATGACGATAGCAATATAATCAGAAGATAATGATCTGCGTTCTCGAGCAGAAACCATAAAATTGCGAATGCTGTAATCATGGTACCGGCGAGATAGACACGGGGAGAGACTCACCGGTGTAATTTACGACCCAGCCAGGTGCGTCAGAAGTTGCTCACCTTACGACCTAATTGGGTTTAATTACACCTGACTGAAAGTTACGGCGATGCGCGCGCGTGTACACACGCCGGCTGGGTTACAATTACCGTTCTCCGATAGTCGATTTTAGTTGTGTCACGACTGGTTGATCTCTATTTCTCTACCGTTAATGCCTTATAAAGCCTGCACGGAAGAAAAATTCTTAAAATCTTGCATATTTATCTCAACATTTAAGGTCTCTTTCTATTTTTAATAGAATTATAGACGGAATAGCTCTCTTATTTTGTCTCTTACGAAGTGTCACGTTCCGTTGTCGGATTGCTATCGATTCGCGGCCATCCGAGACGAATCTCGGTGTGTTTCGGCCGCTCAAATTGACCGCATCATTGTCCATCCAGACGATCGTTGATCTCGTAATGCTGTATGGACTTCGGTCGATCGATGCATTCAGTGTCAATAATCCGATATACCAGATACTACTGTCGCAATACCGCCAATCTCGGGATTAACAGTATTAATAACGATCGGGCTATGACATTATCGCGGTTCGCGATCGCGAATCGAATTAACGTTCTTCCGAAACAAATTACGTCAATGCATCAATATTGCGATTTTATTTCCGATAAAACGCTCGTCGGCCCGCCCGACTCAACAAGACCGAACACGAATATTACGGATTAATTAATAACATGTTTAATAACTGAGCGCGTTACGCGGCTCATAATATTTGTAATTCGATAAATCGTTGTCATCGCACGAGTGATGCATCCGAATTCCAGAATGAATGCAACACAATATCGAAGAAATTTCAGGTATCGATCGACATCCCGCAGACACGTCCGATATCTAATCGATCGTTCTGCGCCACCCTTGTGCTCTAACAAAATACAAGGACCTCCCCCTACTGACAAAACTTCTGGCGAATTTCCAAGGCGCCCCTCGTCCCTAACCCACATACTTGCACGAAATTATGTCGTTTCACTTCACGTGCCATAACGCGTGTCGTTGTCATCTTTTGCGCCGCTATTTTGTAAATTAAATTCTATTTTTTTCCTCCTTATCTTTTCTTCGCGAAGACTTTAAAACTATTTCTCGATTTATTTGCGAAATTAGTTCTTTTTTTCTTCAACTACATTCTACGTCTACATTTTCTTGATGGTGCGATACGCGGAAGAATTTGAAAATTTCTTTTCAACCACGTAGCGCGCAATTAGCGGTTTTCTCTCGTGCGCAAACGACAAAGTCGGTTTACCAATTAGCGGCACGTACACGAAATTATCGTGAACATTATCATGCAATTAGCAAAGTCGAGAATACCGAGTATGTCAATGCACCGTTTGCATCCGCTCGATTTCTAACGAGGATTATGCAACGAATATGGTGTTTTAATATAGTAATAATCCAAATTTCTGTCAACAATTTATGCAATCCCTGTTAAAGGGAATTAAGAATGAGCATCGATAATACAAAGATTTCGATCCTTGCCGAAAGGTTAAACGAAAGAGAAGACGCAGTAATCAAGCTATAGCTGTAACTATGACGTCAAATTTCAGATCCTCAGCAAACAAAACAGCACTTTAATGTCAATTAACTTCAAATTCCATTTTATCAATTATAAATTTCTGTTAAAATCAACATTTTTTGTTATTTATTATATACAGTGACTTTGATAAAATTGTAAAAAATAAATGTATATACACAACGTATAATTATGCAATATTTAAAGTTGCAGGCAAAATGCTACTCGCCTTGCGCAAACATTTTTATTTTAACTCACTTAAACTCCAAGTTTCGACTTTCAAGCAAAGTCAACCCGATACCGGGGAAAAGTTTTCGCGGACTCACGTAGTTCGTTATAATCCCGGCGATTAAAGGCCTCGAAGTCCAGGATCCGTACTCCTTGAGTACGTTCAAAGGGAACGCGGCCCTTAGGTGCTCCTCTAATGCCCGAACGATACTCAGGAGAGGCAGCTGGCGTTAGTCAGCAAACCGCTCGGCTAATCCCTTAATTACTTCGACATGGTTAGCGACCCTGTACTAACCACGTCGGTGCCTAGCACTGTTCCCCGATCGTTAATTAAAATGCCACTTCCTTGTACCGGCGCAATTTCCGCCCGCGAAAAATAAGAGCGCATCCCGGAATAACTGAATTTCAAATATTAAATTAGGAGACGCGCTTTATCTCAGCAGCATTATAAATCGACCTCGTAGAGATATCGTGCATGAATTATACTGTATAATTCACAAATATAATTATACAAATATATATGAAAATTTATATATATATATATATATATATAATCAAATTGTATTTATCTGTGTGATAAAATAATAACAATCACTGAGCGTTATCAGTCATTTAGAATTTGATACGCCACAAATGTTAAAGCAGTAATGTTAACCATAAATATCGCATCTAAATTACCAAAAAAGAAACAAATAAAGTACACCTTTAACGGTATATAAAATTTTACATTTAAATATTGGGTGCGAGCCCCTAATTTTTAAATACTTGAATTTTTCTATGTCAAAAAAAAATGGATAAAATAAATGATGAAAGAATCGCAAATAGTACGCAGGGTTAACAAGCGATATGAATTCTATCAGGAATGGCGATAGACACTGCTATTATCATGACCATCCGACGATTCATCCCCTTGTAATGCGTTGCATAAACGATACTGATTCAGGTACGGCTGCGAGGGTGTGGCGGAGTCCGCTCTCGTCGACGACACCCTCAACGGGAATCCCCACTCGTCAACCTCGTCGTCGTCGAGCGCGATCCTGCCTCAATCTCACGCCCTTCAGTCGGGATCCGCGGGATCGATCGACGCTACGGACACTTCCGAATCGAGAAAGTACGTACGAATACACTTCGCGGTCTTCGACGCGCCCGATCCTCTCTTGCAAGACGATTATGCTACCGCACACACTCACCGTCGCTTCTCTTTTGTGTGTCCAAGTTGTTGCATCTGTTTGCCGCTGTAACGAATCTCGAAACAAAACACGCCCGATATTCGCACGTTCGCATAAACAACTTTGTGCTGGCAGGTGTGACCACTTGGGTTGTTTGTAGAGTCGCCTGTGCACTCACGTTGCTGCTCGCCATGTTGCAAGGCGGACACGAGCACCGTATGTGAAGGATGAATCGCGAATGTCGGATTAAGCCGTGAAATGCGGCGCCGGCGTCCGAGGCACCGTTTTCTCATTTTAATAGAACTGTCACACGACGAGACATACATCATACATTTTTCGGCGGAAAAAGTTTTTCTCCATTACTTGTAAAAATGGTGGATTTATTTGCACGACTTGAACTCGCGATATATTTCATGCGTAAGCAACGATAGGGAAGAAGAAAACGGATCTCGAAACAATTTTCCGCAATTTCCACGTCGATAGACACCGTTCATCTTCACATACGGGCTCCTTTCTGGCTTCTGGCATCGCCGAGAAATCCGCACTGGCTGATCTGACGCGCGCTCTGCTCGCATCAGAAAGTAAAATAAAATTTCACGCTGCTAGTAGACGTCGAACTTGTCTCGGGCTTCCCGTATTACAAAGTAAAATAGACTTTTCCACGAGTAGAAACGTTGCTCCTTCCTTGCACATCTTGCTTTAGAAAGTATTGTAGTAGCCTCGTTCGCGATAAAAACGAATGAATAAACGCATTGAATTTGACAGACGGAAAATGGCAGCGAAACTGACGTATGCTCACGTGAGGTAAAATGCTTGCTTTGTATCGCACTTGTATTCCCTGTATGAAATTATTATCGCAATAATGATCACTGGTATTACACAAATTTCACGTTGCAGTATGCGATGAATAAACAATGCTGAGTACGATTTTGAATTATTAAGAACGATGGAGCTATCCTGCCGCTTTTATACATTAAGCCCACTTTAAACGATTTATTATGCAACAAACATTTTGCGACGAAATTCAAGATGGAATTTTATTTTTAACTTTGCCACGCAAAATACGGGAAATATATTCGAAAAATCTGAATTTATAATGCGCAAAGCACAAATTCTCTCTCAATGATTTACATTTAATATATGTGCATTTCAATTCTCTTTGAATTTATCACATAATATTGTAAATAGATTTTTTTTTTGCATTCCGTCGCGAATGATGAATCGTTTAAAGTGACCTTAATTCTTTGAAATGTTTTTAGATCCAGAGATAATTATCTCGTGTCCATTTGCATAATGAATGAAATAAAACTATGCTTTACATCCTCTTTTTTTTTCTTAACTAAGCACTTGATAGACATGACAAACACCTGTTACAATCTCTTCACTGCATATAACACGCGAGTTGTCCTAACTTTGTACAATTCCCTCGTAAGTGCACGGTACATAATTTTACATCGCATCCAAGTACAAAGCGCAATTTCTCTCTGCCCGCTCGCAAAGAACGTTTTATTTCACAGCCGCTGCGAGTAATCTCTTGCCGGCCGGCTCGTGTCGCGCCCGGCGTTCGATTAGCACGCGAGGATTTCTCGCGGCAGCGATAACGCGGGACTCGCGCACGATCGATAATACAATGGTTTTACGCGGAGAGCGAGATGGTGCGACCGGCGAATGGACGATCTAACGAGCGGAAATCAATTTGTCATCCCGTCGTACTCGATGACGATCGCCGTGAATGTCCACCAAAACGGCCGAACGATACGCGAAACGAGCACGGCCGGACAATGACGCGATAAATCAAGCCGCTTATTTTGGTGATCGTGATTCGGCCTGAAATATCGTGAACTGAAATTCCCCAAAGTCACGCGAGTGCAACCACAATCACGCTCTCATGGAGTTCCGCGATATAATACGACGAGAGAGAGAGAGAGAGAGAGAGAGAGAGAGGGAGGGAGGGAGAAAGGAGAGAGAATTTCAGCGAATAATCTTGTCGCGTGACCACCTCGTGACGATGTGCAAGACGGATTTAAACACATTAAACCGCAGGGCCGAGAATAGCAGCCGTCGTTATAAGAAATTTTTAGATCCGATATAGGTCGATAAGTAAAAATGGGCATTTCTTCCTCGTAGCTTTGTATATATGCTGTGGTGAAATTTATAGCTTGTACTGTATTATCGTTGATTTCCTTGTTGAACAAGAGTTGTGACCCCTACTTTCGTTGCAATTCTTATGATTAGCTGTATCGACTTTAATTAATGCTGGCCTTGACTCTATTTTCTTTTTTTTTATTGTTTATATTGTGAGTGCACGCAAAAAAAATGCAAAAGACTGAAATATGTTCACAGAAAAGTATGCTTGAACCATAGGCGAGAAAGAGGAGACACATATGGCTGACATCTCTAGCTACTTATAATTGTTCGAAAGAATTAATTCTTTTTATAATTTATTCTAAGCAGAAAATATGTGAGTCCGCCTGTGGTTTTCGAAGAATAATCAGACAACACAAAACTCTGCAAAGCAACTGAAGATTCTTCAGATTTCCTGTAGATATTTTTCAAACGATAGACTTTTGTGTCGCCTTGGATATTCAGTGGGCATCGCGGCTGTATTTTCTGAATGGGCCGAAATGCCGTTTTCTGACCCTCGCTTTTTCTTGACTTTGCACTTTAGTTATTGCGAGAAACCCGACAACGAGACCGCGGAGATGGGCGGCGTGCCACACGTGGAAGGTGGCCTGAACAGCGAGCTGTACGCCGTGCCGGTGAAACGACGGCAGCCGAAGGAGCAGAAGAACAATGCGATTCTGCAGAACAATACCCAGGAGAAACCGACGGACGTGGACAGCGTCGATTCCGAGGACAAAGACGAGAATCTGCCGCCCGGCTGGCAAAAGCACGAGGGTAGGTGTCCGAATGCAGGTAACACGACGATCAATATTCCTGTGCCGGAAAAAGCGCAACGGCCCGTATTATGCGCTATAAACGCGGTCGTATAATTATCATGTGGTGGCATAAAGCGCAATTTTCAGACCATGTCTCACCGGTGTTCCGAGAAATGTGGATTTAAATGACAGAGAAAATTGCTAGAATTGAGAATAATATAGCGTAAATTTAGCATGGAAAATATTATTTTAACAAATAAAAAATCTATGATTTATCTTTTTTTCCTATTTTCAAGCTTCTTCTCTCTCAATTTTTTATCTTTTTTTTATCAGTAAACTAACATATTGCTGAGATCGATGACCCAAAAATTAGTATGCGACTATTTTAACACGACCACTATAAATCTGCGTCTATAAATTTTATTGGAAATCGATTAAATGCTATTTCAGATGAGAATGGTCCTTATTATTGGCACGTAAAAAGCGGTAACATACAGAGAGAACCGCCGGAGGCCCCGTTGCACGCAAAAACGGAGGCACGCCGGAGCTTGGTCAAGGATAACGATAGCGTGAGTGATATGTTTTACAATTATTATATTTTTTTAATTAATTTAATTTAACAGTAACTACATAATTTATTAATTATTTTATTTTGTGGTAAATTATTATTGCCAAGATTATTATACAATATATATCGATTTGCAATCTTTATGTCACAATGTTTCACTTGTTCAACACTATCATTGCAGATAAATAATTTTCATACTTTGAGCGGCATGGTAAACACGGTCACTCGCAGCAACACGAGCTCGGCTCTGGACCAAGAGTTGGAGAACAAGAGGAAAGTGGAATTAGCTCTCAAGTAAGCGAACGTCTCTTCGCTCACGATCGTCTTTACGACAATCGACGACGATTTTACCTCCTTTGTTCCTTTCAGACGAAGAAGCTATCCCGCTAGAGCGGATTCAGAGGGCAGAGACAAGCCGATTAGATTCGCCGTGCGATCCCTGGGATGGACGGAGATCGCGGAAGAGGATCTCACGCCCGAGAGAAGCAGCAAGGCCGTGAATAAATGCATCGTGGATCTCTCACTCGGTAGAAACGATCTTCTGGACGTCGTCGGACGATGGGGCGATGTAGGTTCTTTGAGAAATAAGCGAGATAAAATTAATGAAGTAAACTAAATCCATACTGTAAGTCTGAAAAGCGCGCGAGCGATATGAAACAGCCTTGACATATTTAACGAACGGCAGGATTAAAATTCGTGATAAAGAAAAAAAGATGTGACCTGTAAGACCATATTTAGGACACTCGGCTTTTTAAATGACCGGCAAAACCGACATCGATTTTGCTACGCGATAAACACGCGATGAGAAATATATTACGAAATATTTCAGGGTAAGGATCTATTTATGGACCTGGACGAGGGCGCGCTCAAACTAATCGATCCGGAGAATCTCACCGTACTGAACACACAACCTATTCATACGGTTAGGGTATGGGGCGTAGGGAGAGATCACTGTCGGTAGGTGAATTATTAATTATCTTCTTATCGCGTGAAAAGTTACACAAAGTATATTGTATACTAATATATTCACATCGTTTTCATGAATGTCTCCTCTTCTTTGGACGGACGGACGAATAGCGAAAGGTAAGATACACAAATTTTGAAACGATAAAATAATGCTTTGACGAAGCGTTCAATTGGATAAATCTGTATAATTTCCTTCAGGGACTTTGCTTACGTGGCAAGAGACCGATCGACCAGGAAACACATGTGTCATGTGTTCCGATGCGACATACCGGCGCGCACGATCGCCAACACGCTTCGCGATATTTGCAAGAAGATAATGATCGAGCGCTCTCAGCATCAGAATCTTGCGAAACCGGTGGATATCAACGGCCGAACGAGTCTGGCTACAAGACCCACGAATCTGCCAACTGAACATCGGCGTTTCCACAGAAACGGCCAGACGCTAGTCAGTAAGTAATCGTCAAGTTTAATTAATCCTTCGTTTCATTATTCCTTTGAAAAAACTGTAAAATTTATTACGAGAAACCATGGAGAAATAAATTCGAATAACAAAAATAAGCTACCAAAGAATAGAAAGACTGTTTAAAAGTGTAAAACGGACTCGAAATAAATATCTAAATATATTTCGCATTATTTTTGCGCAGCACAATCCTTTCCAACGCCGATGGAAGAACCGAAGAAAGTGCTGCGGGCGCAGTACCTTGGATCTATGCAAGTCACTCAGGCGACCGGCATGGAGGTATTGAACGAAGCAATAGAACATATCGTGACGAACACTCCGATCAATCAGTGGCGAAACGTTAATGTTGCCGTAGCTCCTAGCATGATATCCATTCATACGCCGAACGTGAGTAAATTAGATCAAGACAGTTGCTGCCGGTGAAACAGCGATCAGTTAACTTTACAATGATTGTAATTTTCAGGATGACAAACTCATCACCGAATGTCGAGTACGTTACCTGTCGTTCCTCGGTATCGGCCATAACGTCAAGCAATGCGCCTTTATCATGCACACTGCGCAGGATCTCTTTATCGCACACATCTTTAACTGCGAACCCAGCAGCGGAGCGCTCTGCAAGACAATCGAAGCCGCTTGCAAGGTAAGAATTTTCCTTCGACGACTTTATCAATTCGTTTCAATGAAAAAAACAAAAAAAGACGATTGAGAGAGATTTCTCTTTAGTTGAGGTACCAGAAATGTTTGGACGCACATCCACAAGGCTTCAGAAACGCCAGCAGTCTCAACACTCCGAGCGGCAGAGGATTAGGCGCAACCATAAAGTCCTTAGTTGGGTCCCTGACTGGACGCAGGAATAAGCAGGGCGAGTCCTGAGACGAGGCTCTCTCGCTGCAGGTAAACTACTTTAAAATTATAGCCTCCTAGCGTTGAAAAGTGTTTTTATTATTTTTTTTTTAATAGTCACAAATACAAAAACTGTCGAGAATGGGAGATCTTGACAAACCAATAAAACGTGACTGAATATTTTCGATTAATCGGATCAGTCCCCCGATTGTCCGCTAGGAACTCTGGCCATTGCCTGCTGAGCGAGAGGTGATCCGACACAGGCATCTGCAGTCGCCGTTGACGCTCAAGTACTTCGGCGGCTCGCCGCCGAGCGCGTCCCTCAAGTCGCTGCTCTCACCCTCGCTGGACACCAGGCGTATTCAGCTCGCTCGCTGGGAGAGCAACCCCTAGAGAGACGCGGAGGCCTGATGCGCCGGGAGGCAGCCGTAGCCGACGAACGGATATTCTCTTTACGACATAAACGACTGAATTTTGCGAAAGATTCCGCAGAGTGCTATACCAATACCACAGCTATAGTGGACTACGCTTACCTATGTCGATATGATGTTATGTATGTTAACGCAATGTTTAACGAAGGGGGGAGGGAGGATATATCGCGGATATGCTGCGATTCGATAGACAAGAGCGATGCGTCCCGTCGCGGAAATTCTTAGAAAAAGAAAAAAAAAACAGCGCGTAACGAATTAAAAGCAGCATTCACGGGGAACCGACGGGTTTCTGAGAAAGCTTAGAGTAAAAAAAAAAGGGGGGGAGAAATCGGAAGAGTGAATTGTCTGTATATATAAGGTGATTATTGCGCTAAATTTAATCGACTCGCTCGTTCGAATGGGAGGAGTGGCAGAGACGAAGGAGGAAACCGCCAGCGGGATTTCGCGAGCGAGTGAAATTGTGTGCGTGTCGGAGAGAGCGAATGAGAGCTGCAGTTAGCGTAGTAGTAAGCGTATATCCGCAAAGGCATTCGAGGAGATTCGAGGGAAGTTATAGAGAGCTTGTGCGTATATGGTATATAAATATAATATATAAACTTGTACGTGCGTGTAATTCTCGGGTGTACAGATTAGGAAAAGCGTGACGAGGACGACGATCGGGTCGCACGGGACACATAATACACGCGTAAGCACACGCGTGTGAAGAACGCACCTCCGCACACACGCCAGCACGCGCACCGCGACTGTACCGGGTGTCCCGCGGACGTACGCTGCTTCTTTTTGCCTGTGGATTTTCCGACGACTACGACGGAACGCCATCGAGCGCGGTAGGTCCGGGGACGACCCCTAGATATACACACGCGCACGTTTACACGGCGGCCGATAGGGAGTTTATTTTTTATGGCGAATTAGATAGGAGCTTTAGGGAAGAGCTTGCAAGCACCTCGGAGATCACGAAGCCGATACGACAAATACTTATACCGCGACCGTCCTTTAAACTTCAAATTGTGAAGGGAAAGCAGTTAGGCGAGAGAGATCGATGATATTGCGCAACGATATTGAAGCCACGCGTGATCGCAATCGGTCGTTGCACGCGCGCAATAATCGCGCGATAACGTTACCCAATACGCCCATACTTGGGACTTACGTCCGCGCGGTAATAACTATTAAACCGAATACGATGACATTAATAATTATTATCGCCGGTGATAATTATTATCCTCGTAAGCGCGTACGCTAAACGATAATTATTATCGCTAGACGCATCGTAGCACGGCGAATTTCAGCTGAAAAAAAAAAAAGAATCGTATGCATATCAATTGTACGCCATTGCAATTTTTTCGACCGCTACTTAAAAGATAGATGCATGCGAGAGGTATGTTCGTACAAAAACGTTATTACAAAAAGAGTCAGGTGTACCGTTTAAAAAAGTTCCACGCATTTACACGTGCGCGCACACACACACACACACACACATACATACACCACGTACGTAGAACTGTGTACAGTCATGAACTGCACCTCGCACTAGCGATCGCCGCTATCGTAGAATTTAGAGAGCCGAAAACAATCCTGATCGAGGCACGTTTTTGTGGTAACATTTAAAAATTTGATCGCATTGCACTGCGAATCTACAATATGTGTACACTTACAAATACGTGCGTACTGATGACGATTATGCGTAAAGGAGACTCGCCGCTGTTGCTGATTCGGAGACGAAATTATCACGATTAAGCGAAACATATTTCCTCTACGGCAATTTTTTTTTTTCTTAATTTTAGCCAATTTTATTTTATATAATAGTTATAAGAATTAGCTTAGTGTTTTAAGGATTAATAAATCGTTTTCCAATCCTTGTTTATCGAAACCCGAAGTATCATCTCTCCGAAGTGAATCCAAGTTGCGCTTATTAACGATTTATAAGAAGCATCGAAGTGTCGTATTCTACTTTTTTTTTTTTTTCCGTAGAGGAATCTTTTTCTATTCAGAGGGCGCAATCCTCGTCGTCCTGCGAGGACGGTCACGTCGTACGAGCCATCGTCGTTGCGAGAGATACAAAGTTGTGCGGGACCCAGAACGAAGATATTTCTATGTAGCGTTTTAAATAAAAGAGATAAAAGCACAGAGGAGCAGAAAGAAATAATGGCAAGATATAATAGAGCGTTGCGGGAGAGTGTGCGTGAAAGGGTGAGTATGCATGAGTATGCTGCTGGTCGGGAGGGGTGTTTAATTATTATTATTATGTAAATAGTTTCATCGCGATATCTCTCCACCATCGTCGCGGACTTCCTTTGTTCTTTCGCTTCGTTCTTTCGCGAGATTAACGCGGCGACGCGTTTCAACAAGCGCGCGCGCGCGCGCGCGCGCGAACGAGCGAAGGGGCGAATTCTGTTACGCGCGCGTCGCGTAACTCCACCGTTAAATCGTATCGTTGTACAATTGAGTGTTGGGAGAGGAGTGTTGCCAGCGGTGTCGCGAGTCTGTGAAACATTGGGGTTGCAAAGAGCTCGGCGGGAGTACGTTCCGCGAAATTGACTTCCCGATCTTCGAAATCGAGCGTCCGGGCGCGCACGCCGCGCATACGCTTTAATTTTGCAATTGCACAAAATCGACCCCGCCGATTTCGAAGATTGGAAATGAAGTCTCGCAGCACGGATTCCCGCCCGTCCCTCTCGGCTCGTCATCCAACTTTCTTTAGATGGCGAACAGCCTCGAGAGGCGCGCGAGAGAGGATTTAATAAATGGTGTGGATGTAAATATGATATACACGTGTAGAGAGTAAGGCCGAAGCTATGAAGTTCAACAAACAAACACACACACACGCACACACACACATGCACACATTATCGTACCGCACTGCCAAGGCACGTGCAACGCCGATGCACAATTTCACATTTACACGTGCACACCTTCTCGCAAATCAGTTAGGTGCAACCACATGCGTGTGGCACGCATGTGGAGGAAAAAAAATACGTACACACACACACAAATTGCGCATAGCTTAACTGTCTCTTTATATAGGTGTTGACACGTCGTCATGGGAGAGCTAACCACAAATGAGGGGGTGGACTGGTGTGTAGGGGGGTGGGAGGGGGAGTTCGGGTGGTAAAACACGACAAGAGCCACTTATAATTGACATAGCATAGCGAACCTTACTGTATTTACCGTGACATGTAATACCCTTTAACGAGAAGAAATGCGAATCTACTGATAGAAGAGTTGTTCTGCACAAAAAAAAAAACACGATGCTTCATTGGTAATTATAGTGTCTCTCACTCTCTCTCTCTC